ATTGCTATGAATGCTTGCATGGAACCCCAAAATGCTGCCTTTTTTTTATGGGAGATGTGGAACATACATTATTCCAGCCCTGTCTCTTGAATTTCTTGTTCCAATCTATCGATGCAACTGCTTGCTGTTGTCACCAACTGGAAAAGTTCATTGAACTTGTTTCTGCTTCTGTCCTTTTCTTCACCTTCAACTGCTCCATCTCTGACTCTTTGTATGTGGTTGTGAGAATGAATAAAGGCTCCAGGCAGGTTGGGTAAATGGGCAGAAGATGTGGCAGATGGAATACAATGTGGCAGAGCGTGAAGTTAACCACTGTGATGGGAAAAATAAATTCGGAATGTCTTTTGCTAAGTTTATATTCAAAGGGACTTGGGTGTCCATGTTCGTTGAATTGCAAAGTTAACATGATGGTACAGCCAGCAATTAGGATTACAATTGCTTAACTACAATTCCTCACAGTGCAGACAAATGAGATTGCAGGAGATGGATTCTTTTGGATCAACACAAGTGCCTTTGGCCAATTTAGCTGCTTTCTCTTGTAATTTGGGTTTCAAAGTGAAACATCTCTCTAAATAGCTTACATAGCTTCCACATAAATTGTTAACTTTGCAACTTGATGGTAATTCAAAAGACTGAGTTATGATGAAAGTTAAGATCTTTTTATGCAATGGACTGTGATGAAATTAATTTGTTAAAATGGCCATTTAACACCTAGTTTAGCAGTGATCCCAAAGATCTGTGTTGTCTAGTAGTAATCATTGACAATGGAAGAGCACCATTTTAGCCACATTTATGACCATTTGGATACATCGGCATCAGTGAAAGAATCACCTCTCAATGGATTGGGTCGGTGGTGTGTCTGAATTTGTTTCGACATGATGTGTAAAGCTGTTCATTTTGAGTAGCAAGCTGTTTTTCTAATCAACCTGTTCACAGATGTGAATGCACACTCTTGACCAGTTGGGACTTGAACCCAGGCCTCGTGGCTCAGAGGTATTGACACTCACACTACAGCACAAGAGCCCATGTTAGTACACACCTCTGGAGTAGGTGAGACTAAGCCCCAGGCCACTTGGTCCAGAAGTAGGAACACTACCAATGTGCTACAAGAGCCTCCATTTTGAGTGGTAATCTGAGGTTGTCAAATTCAGGGTGCCTCCCTGTCAGTTCATGGAAGGCTTGCCCCTCTGTCTCAGGGTTTAGTTCATTTAGGCTTCCTTTGACAAGCTTCAAAATTACTTCCAAAAAATTTGGTTCAGCTAAGTTTATTAAAATGTATTGCTGAGTGAATATCCTTGTACTGACTTCATGATGTACAAGACCAAATTCTGCATAGAATTGAACTCTAATATGGTCCGATAAGCCCCAGCAGCATTTGTTGAGTCTTTCAGGACAATTTCCCTTTTCACTGTTGCTGTCAATGACATTCCATTTGATAATATGACTTCATAATTTTGCAGGTTATTGTGAAACAAGAGATTGTGATTCGGAAGATTTTCTTCAGCCAGAAATTGGGATGGGAGTTTGTCAATAAATACAATTTCTTATGAAATTGAAATGCTCCCAAATGGACGGTTTCACTGCAATATCATATTAAATTCACCAAATCTAGATTTAAAAGTATGAATGTGAGGTAACTGGTGTAAACCAATGCACAATTTCTAGTCACAAGTTAGTAAGATGTTTTAGAGCAACGTGAACTTTGGGCACAAAAACTTGGGCACAAAATAAATATCTATCTTCACTTGCGCAGAAGGCTACCATGGAAGAGTTACATTCTACCTGGGAGAACGGGATGAAACCATAGAACAAGTTAACGAAAAGCTCCTCTCCTACCCGTCACGCTTCATTGCAGAGCAGCTGACTTTTATGGATGCTGTGAGTAAACAGGAATCTGGGGTCATTCTATCAAGACCTGTTGCCCAGTCATTCTAAGTAAGATGTTTCAGTCAGCAGTAAGCATC